ACCAGGTGAGGTGTGGTGGTAGGATGCTGCTGCCATTGGGGAGGTTTGCTCCTTTGAGAGGTGGGTAGCGATGGAGGGGCTGGCACAGCAGGTGGCTGGGCAGGTAGGAGACTGGCACTTGGCACTTTCATGGGTCTGATTATGTGACAAAAGCACTTTGTGCACAAGAGACTCCTGTGTTGGAGGAATCAGAAGCACCTGAGGCTGCAGAGCAGAGAGTGGTGGAGGCCCGAGCAGGGGACTGTGCAGGACCGTCCAGACAAGATGAGGGATTGTAGCTTTTTCCAAGCTTACCCTGGCTGCAGGCTGGGGAGCAGGTGTGTGTAGGGTGAGGAGTGGGCACCAGAGCAGAGGCGGGGAGATGCCTCCTGAGGCTGAGGCAGGAGGTGATGTGGTTTGGGCCAGGGCTGAGTGGAGGCAGGATGGACTCAAGAGCTGCTCAGGAGCGTGTCTTGGGTTGGCTTTGTAGGGCATGAGGGCAGAGGTTAGTTGGGGGAATCAAGGGCTGAGTTGATGTTTTTGGCTGCCAACCTCCTGATTCACTGGGCAGTGGAATGCCAAAAGACCAGAGGTGGGAATGAATTTGGTTTTGAAATCTGAGGTGCTTTTGAAGTATCCAGGAATTGGCTGTAAGACATCTCCATGGGTGGTCTGCCTGTTTCAGCCCCCTTTCCTACTTCTCAAGCTGAGATGACAGGCAGTGAGTGCAGTTAACTGGCCTGGTGTTCATTCTTCCTCTCACTTAGATGTGTTGGTGAGCAGTTTGAAGGCGAAAAGTGGCAGCTGGCGAGGATACTGACCAGGTGCTCAGAACTGGGTGAAGTTTGACCAAAGATGGACTGGAAGCCTGGTAGTCACAGAGTTTAGAAAACATGCTGTTCTTAAATTCTTACTGCAACATAATCCTTTGCAGTCCAGGACTCAGAAAAGTAGACCATCGTGGGTGATTTTCAGTAGATCATTTTGGGGTCCCTAGGAAAAGAATGCAGCATATTTTTCCACCCTTGAGATGGCACTAAGATTCTTACCCACAGCCCAACCTAGCTGTGGGCTTTATCCTGTAGTGTCTCTCTCTTTACTCTCTCCCCCCTCCCCCTCCCTTCCCCCTTCTTTCCCTTCCCCTTCCCTTTCTCCTTCCTGTCCTTTGTACTGGGGATTGAACCCAGAGACTCATGCATGCCAGGCAGGTGCTCTACCACTGAGCTATATGTATAGCCCTCCATATTCTTTTTAATTTTCCCGTTTCCATAAATGGAAAATAGGCCCAAGAGGTTCCTTCTGTTTTTTTCTCTTAGTAAAGACAGGACTGATGGTCTTGGTGCCGCGCAAGTCCAGTAGGGTTATAAGAGAACTTGTCGGAACTCCAGGGGACCGAAAGTCTTTGGTGACGTCCACATGCAGCTGAGTGTCTCTGAGGTCACACTGTTCACAAAGCTCCCTGACCTTCTGTCTACCAGCCCCTTGGAGGTCGGTCTGTGGCTTGAGTGCTGACCTGCAGTGCCTCCCTGTGGGACCTGTCCTGGGAACCATGCTTCATTGCTGTAACAGCAATTTGAGTTCAGCTGTTTCATCAGCCCGACTCCTGGTGCACTCCGGCACCTTCAGAAGCTGTTCACGCGTTGGATGGAGTCTCGTGGAGCCACTGGGAGATTATAACTTCTTTCTCCCTCACACCTATTGTTTATGGACAAACGCCCAGCAGATTTACACCCTCACCTTGTGCATAGTTTTTCTGTTTCCTTTCCCCCTGCCCCCAGTACTGGGGAATCGAACTCAGGACCTTGCACTTGTGAGGCAAGTGAGGCACCACTGAGCTAAATCCTGGGCCCTTTCCTTTTGAAGGAAGAAAATTTTTATTCTAACAGGTGCACACTAAAGACTGAATTTTATGTCTTAGTAATATGTATAAGCTGAAATCAGAATTTTATTCTGTCCGGACAGGGTTTGTAACATTTGCAACCTTCTGCTTATTGCTGTCTTTCACACTGTGTGAGGCTCTAGTGATGTCGTTGATGGTGTGAATTATTTACGCCCAGCGTGGAACCTGTTTATTCAGGTAGCATGTGTGTGCAAGGCATGGTCTGTAAGTGTGTGACTGAGGCATCTCAACCCGCTTCATAACTGCATAACTCAGGGCGATCCTGAGCAGGGTCCCCGTAGGAGCAGCACTGAGATGAAAGATCAAAGCAGAGGCTGCTCTGGGAGCATGGGTGTAAGTACTGGGGGTGAAGGATTTTCAGCAGTGTTCATTATCAGTATTTCAAGATCCTTAGGGAGTGCTGGACAAGAGTATAGAGAGACCAGTGAAAACATTATGCCAGCATTGAAATGATTAATGACCAATAGATTCTTTCAGTAGGAATGGAAACGGCGGAAATGAACTGTGGCAGAACAGGCAGGGATCGGGAGAGGTCTGCAGAGTGAGAAGTCAGAGGTTGTGGTAGATGAGTGTTTGCCCTTTAGCTTCCATGCTGGACACGGCTTGTGCAGGTAGAAACGGCAGTGTTTGGTCTTAAGTAATAAGGCTGGTGGGCGATTAAGTGGGAGAATGAATGAATGGGACTGTGTCTTACATTCCTAGGAGCTTTGACCGATGCATAGCAAGTGTATTTTCCTCCAAAAGAAAATTTTCATTTGCAGTTTTTACCAGTTGACCTTTTGAAGTAGACTGTTATAGTTATATTTGTAAGTGATTGACAAGAATTTTAAGAACTTCAAGGACTACAGTTTTTAGAGTAGTAGATGAATTTAAGTGTTGCTTCCTCTTTTTCAGACATAGTCACATTGGCCCGCCCTTGTTGGGTAGGTTAGATCTGCCTGGGATTCTAGAATATCTGTGAGAGTCATGTTCCGAGTGAGTTTGCTAGGGGTGCTGTAAGGAAGAACCGCAGACTGAACGACTTAAAGCAACAGAAGTGTGTCCTGTCACAGTGCTGGAGGCCAGGAGTGTGAACCCTAGGTGTTAGCAGTCCACACACCTTTAGAAATGCTCAGGGAAGAATCCTCCACCCCTTGGCCAGCCTTCCTGTTGCATCACTCCAGTCTCCGTCCCCATGGCCACATGACTTGTTTCTGTCTGTCTGTCTCTCTCTTCTTACAGGAAAGCCAATGTTGGATTTAGAGGCCCCATCCTCCAGTTTGACCTCATGTTTTAAGGTCCTAGAGTAAGGACTTGAGCATATCTTTTTTGGAGGTGGTGCCTTAATCTGTTTGTACCTTCATAATAAAACGTCACAGACTGGGTATTGGTAAAGAACAGAATTTTTTTTTTTTCAGGGTTCTGGCGGCTGGGAAGTCCAAGGTCAGGGTGCCAAAGGGCTTGGGTGTCTGATGAGGGCCGATCTCTACTTTGGGGTTGGGGTCTTGCTCCTGTGACCTTCGGAGGGGAGGAGCGTGTGTCCTCACGTGGTGGGAGGCTGAAGAGTAGCCTGAATCCCATTCTCTGTAGGGGAGCCCTTGTGGTGGAATCATCTCTTAAAAACCTTGTCTTTTTTTTTTTTTTTTTTTGAATTTTGCAGTGCTGATCTGGAGCCCAGGGTCTCCCCCATGTCATACAAATGCCCTATCACTGAGCTGCATCCCCAGCTCAAAGATGCATCTCTTACTCCCACCACCTGGCCACTAAGTTTCTACACCCAAGTTTTGGAAGGGACACATTCAAACCATAGCCAGGGATGAAGGTGGATGGAGGGATAGAATTCACCCCAGTGGTGTTTTAGGCTAGAAGGATGCTCTGAAGTCCTAGGGGCTCTTGTGACTCCATGGTGCAAGGCCCAGACAGTGGATCGGAGTGCTGTCACTTGCCCTGGGCTTGAACTTTGCTTGACCTAGCTGCCAGGAGGCCAGGAGAAGTGGCCCTCATTCCAGACTGCCATTCACCAGCTTAAGTTTGAGGTTCTGTTATCACAGGAGATTGAGGAGATTTTGAGAGCAGCCAACAGTTTCTGCTACACATTCAAAATCTAGGGTGTAGGGGATGGTGGGTTATTTAATTTCTGTGCCACTGTAGCTTTTGTAATTGAATTACTTCTAGCATTTTTGAGGAGCAGGAGGGTGTTTTTCCAATTATGACTATGTTAGATTGTAATGCTTAGTGGGATTTTATTCTATGATGTTAAGTTGCATCAAATGGCTACTAACTAGTGTAGAAAGTAGCAGGTGGTGGAAGATATGACATTGCTGCTGCCAAGGACAGGATATTTACCAAAGAGAAAGGAGAAGCGATTGTGAAAAGATGCTTAGAAAATACTTTTTAAGAGACTGAAACTTAACCAAATAAGAGCATGTTTTTAAGAATGATGATTTACTGATAGTGACAAGTTGTGGTAGGTTGATTTGACACTCAGCAAGAGAGGGGAAGAACAGAATGAATCCGAGTGCCCAGCCAGGGAACCTGGCAGACAGATGGGTGGAGCTAGGGGGTTCCTTCCACCTCTGCCACTGATCTTGTGCTCCCTCCTGACTTGTGGCCCAAATCAACTTCTGCAGCCCAAGGAGTGGCCTTCATCTTCGTGCTTCCGGCCTCTAGTGTGATGCTTGGCACATATGGGGATTGAGTACATATTTATCACTGTTTGGCGATTCCTGCATTTACTGTTACACGAAAGCAAAATAGTAAAGATGTGCAGGGTTGACATTCGTTCAACTTTCGAACCCTGTTTTCCCTTTAGGAAAGAATCAGTGTAGTTGTTGAGAAAGTTACAAAGATAGTTCCCTCCTGGCTATGAACTTTCTCTCTTTCTATACAAATCCGTTAGTATAGAGCATGTTCTGATGTAAATCAGCCCTCCCTGCCTGCCTCTTTTGTGTGCTGGGAATCAAGCCCACATTTAGCGCTTTACCACTGAGCCAGCACCTTGCAGACCAGAGACCATACTTTAAATACAGCAAGTAAAATGATCAGTGGGCTTATAGAGCTTTATATTAGTTTCCACAGAAGCAATGATTTCTGTTTTGCTTGTTTCTGCAGCTTAAACAGTCTGGTTTTCCTTTTTCTTTAGAACTTCCTGTTACTTGATGAGATATCACAGCACAGCCTTCAGCTGCCAGCAGATGGCAAAACGATAGTGCATGTCCAAGATTTCACTGCTTTCTGGGATAAGGTAACAAATCCTACATTATAAAGTCATGGCTTCCAAAAGATAGTGGATGACACTGATTATTATTAATAGATTATAGAGATTTTACATATTATATAAAATGAGACTGCCTGCCTTGCAGGTGCAAGGTCCTGAGTTCGATCCCTGGTACCCCCCCCAAAATAAAAAATAAAATGAGACTTGCTCATTTATTTGGCACATGTTATAAAAACTCTCAAAATCAGGAGGAAAGTTTGCAATCCATAATAAGGAAGTATAAAATCAGCCTAAAGGGTTGGACAAGTTGCTCTTTATCTCCTTTTCAAAAATTTTTTTGCTAGGGAGGGGGGTGGGTCTCCCTTATCCCGTGCCAGCCCCTTTGGTGCCAGCCCCGGACAGGGAGCAGGCAACAGGCCAACCCCCTGGATTTTTAACTGAAGGGATTCACCATGCACCGAGTAGACAGGTAAAACAGGCGAGGCCACAGGGTTTTTCCCACACTTGGTTTGCTTAGGACATCTGGGAAAATGGGAAGAACAGCAGGATCACCGAGTGCTGAGTGGCGGACTCTGCACGTCCCCCTTTCTCTGCTGCTTCAAGGGCTTCCGTTTTGGAGCTCCTGGCCCATGTATGGAACTTCCTCTCTCAGTCTGGATTAGTCTGGGAAACAAAATGGGAGAGGGAATTTCTTGCTGAGAATTTGTTACCTAGGCGATAAAAGAGCAAAAGAGGAGGAGGCGGTGTGGGTGAGGCCACCCTGGGATTGGCAGTGGCAAGAAGCCACGTGTTCCCACCCCTAGGGCGACAGGGAGCGTCTCTCAGGGCTCCTGTTCTGGGAGCAGGGACTGCAGAAGCTGCTCGGGCAGACTGCTCCCCTCTTCTGCCTCCCAGCCTCAGACCTCACCACTCTCTGGCTGAGCTTGAACTTGAGCTGGAGGAGCGTCTGGCAGTGTGCTTTGTGGAAGGGTGATGGGGAGCGGAAGCCAGGAGCTGAGTGAAGAGCAGTGCTCTTTCGCAGTCCAGGGGAGCTTCCGGTCATGTGCATTGAGGGGTGAGATTCCTTAGGGGCAGGGCCCAGTGCAGACCCTGGGGTTTTGGAGAGAAGCTGAGGTAGAATGAAGAGCGTGCTGTGTGGGAGATGGGAGCAACACTGGCTCTGTCACAGCCACACCAGAGGCCCAGCTGGGTATTGGGGAAAGTCTCCCCAACCCAGATCTCAGTGATAAACTCAATCCAGGCTTTACAGTTCCTGGTCCCATGGGACCTCCTCATCTCCCCAGGGACAGCATTGTTGACCGGTGCCTCACACTTGCCTTTCCTGCTCAGACTGAGACTTCTCCAAGCCTGCATCAGTGTGAGGGAGCTATTGAATGCTGCCCCCTTCTGGTTACAGTGGAGCAGTGCTCTGCCCTGAGTCTCCTGCATGGGGGCTGGAACCTCTGCCCTGCAGAGAAACTGAGGAGTGGCTGTTGCTCGCAGACAGGTCATGTACAGGAGTCTTCCCTGACCCAGGACGTGGTGCCCTTTGGGGATGCCAGATTGATTTTTAAAGAATTCTTTGTCTAGAGATCAACAGGTTGAATTGCCTTTGATTTCATGCTTGATCATCTTTTTCTATGATGTGGAAGAAGACATCCCACAGTGTGTTGTGCAGGATTCTAACCTTTTACAAGAATGCCTTACAAATGGTTTGGGGCCCAGAAAATTTGTTAGATCCTCAGCCATGGGTAACAACTGACAAAGACTCTCAGATGCACCTCGGGACATACAGATGGGGATTGTAACTGTGGGAAGAAAGCCCCTTCAGATTAATCTCCAAATAGCAGCTTTTAAACTTCACTTTCAATAGTTACCACCAGCATTTTTCTGTCAGAAATGTGGATTTGGAAAAAAACTTTCTGTGGTTTGTGATGACTACTATTAAGGTTCTGTACTCTCAATTAAAAACCTTTGTATTGATTAACTTTCCCACTGACACTCCCACATTAAAGGAGGAGAGGTTTATTTTGACTCACAGTTTCAGAGGTTCCAGGCAATGGCTGATTGGCTCCTCGGCAGAAACATCATGGCGGAAGAGCACTGGAGAGGAAAGCTGCTCAACTCATGGCATCTGAAAAAGCAGAAAGCAGAGGAAGAGCCAGAGAGGGAGGGGCCAGGGACCAGATATACAAGATCACACACCTATGACCCACCTTCCCTAAGTAGGCCCCACCTCCTAAGAGCCCACTCAGCTATAAACTCTTCAATAGATTCACCAGTGATGAAGTTAGTTCCCTCCCCATCCTGTCACCTCTTCAGAGGTCTTAATCCAGTCAAGGTGATAGTCAAGATTAACCGGCACAAGCATTCTTTTCCTTACTTATGCTACCTGAATTTTGCTTAAAGGATAGGTAATTTGAAGGACTTATTGAGATTGAATGGGAAAAGCAAACCTCATTTTAGTTTATCATGCTCTACTAAATTCCTCTCCTCCTAACACTTTCATCTCTCAGTTCAGTGTGTAATATTTGGAAATTCTTTGTATAAGAGGTAAATTAGATTTGGTCTCTTTAAAGAATGAATTGAACTGAGAAACTATAGAAGAATATTGTTGTGACATTAGCAATTATTGAGAATTTTCTTAAAATTTAGTACAGGTTGAATATCCCTTATCTGAAATGCTTGGGACCAGAAGTGTTTCCCATTTTGAATATTTTCAGATTTTGAAGTATTTTCATGTATGTACTGTGTATCTTGAGGACCCAGGCCTAATACAAAAGTCATTTGCATTTCATTTACACCTTGCACATGTAACCTAAAGATAATTTTATACAATGAGGGTACATGTGGAATTCTATACTTGGCATGTCAAAAGTTTTAGATTTAGGGCCGGGGATTTAGCTCAGTGGTTCTGCTGCCTGCCTTGCAGGTGCAAGGATCTGAGTTCGATCCCCAGTACCAAAAAAAAAAAGCTTTAGATTTAGGATTTTCTGATTAAGGATATATATGACATATAATATGATTTTATATATGACATATATATTATGTAATTATACGCATACATACACATATAGTCTTAACTCTTTTTAGTATTTAGAGATTTTCAGGATTGTGCTTTCTGGTAATATTACTAGTGCTTTATCCCTACCTACCCCTTGTGTTGGACTATGTGTTGTAGTTCGTGCCTCCATGGTATTTGTAGAAGTACTATATTAGCCGTGTTTAGCCATGATAGGTAATGCACATGACAAACATAAAACTGAGACTTTATTACTTTGATCCACAATCCTATAGTGGATTTAATTTCTTATTTTTATTATTAAATTAGAGCTCTGGTTACAGCATTGGCCATCATTTGAAGTTCATTTGCTAAGAGTGACTTCATAATATAATGTGCCTTCTTACTTGCTGAGCTTTGCTGAGATTCATTCTTTGTCAATTGAAAATGGAATGGCTAGTGACGATTTCAAATTGTTTATCAGCAAAAGGTTGGGCATGCCGTATAGTTACGCTGCCATCTTGTGGATATTAATGAGATAGATTACAACCAAGGGTCACAATGAGAACTTATAAATGATTTTACCTTGCAAACTGGATATTCTGTTAAGAATATTATAATACGGGGTTAGGGCATGGGCTTTCCTTAAGTACTAGTTAGAATTGCTTTAGGCCCCACAAGGAAATGTGACTGGATGAAAAAGATACTAGGGCACAGTATCTTAAAATAGAAAAAGGAAAGATGAGGGTTGTTTTCAGGTATCAATGACTATTGCTTTAATTTCTGTACTTTTAGAAGTGACTGGTGCTACTTTAGTAAAGTAGACACATTTTGTAACCTTTAATTTGTAGGCATTGGAAACCCCAACCCTCCGAAGCCTTTCCTTCACTGTCAGACCTGGAGAATTGTTAGCTGTGGTCGGTCCGGTGGGAGCAGGCAAGGTAAGTTTACAGAGCCTTTTGGCAGCTTTATGCGACATCACATCTCAGGTTAAATTCTTGGAGTTGAGCCTGAAGCTTTGTGAATCAAGTGTATCTGGAACAGCATTTCCCAGTGTGTTCTACGGCCTCTTAGTTTTGCAAGAAGATTCCATGACCAAAGGAATCCGGGTGTTGTGAATTGTGTTTTTCTTGGTGCTTGAAGTTATACAATTGGGAGCTCCCAGTCCAGAAGTTGGATATGGCATTGAAGGAAATTATTTAGGTGTCTGCTATTCAGCTTGGAATGACTGAGGAAGCAGGGATCTTTTTTTGTCAGAGTAAACTTTAGATGCAACCCAGTACCTGGAGTTGTCCAGTGTTAAACATCTCTTCATATGACTTACCAAGTCATGCCAGTGCACATTTGGTAAAAATACAGCCATACTTGGTGCTGTTTGGAGCAACACAGGAGCCAGACTCTGTGCCGGGCTCTGCCCTTCAGAAGATCAAGGTTCTGGGGTGAGACAGAAGGACAAAGAGATGGTTTCAGTTCTGTGTTGTAAGCACGCTGATTGCGGTAGGCACAGACACGTCACATCTACACGCTGTAAAAGTCTTGAAGGAAACATGCATGCACGTTTAGTCTTGTGCATTCTTAAGCAACAAAGTATGGAAATCCCAAAATTAGCTATGTAAATGATAGGGTGATCACTTCCTTGTATGATTTTTGCTTTTCAGAATTCCTTTAAATCAAACCCTCCCATAGTGCGTTGGGTGCATTATGTATGCATAGCTTTTCTGGAACAAGTATTTGGTGAAGGTCAGGGATACCTGGGTACGGTAGCAGCTACATCCAGTATTGGATATATGGAATCTGTATCCTGTGAGGCCTTGGTGTTACTACAGACATTCTTAATTACCTGTGTCATTCTTAATTACGTATAGCAATCCAGTGTAGCATTCCGCTTGGGGGAAACTTGTTTGAGCAGAGTAGCCTGCCATTTTCTATTTTGTTAATATTCTTTATTAAACAATAGTGTTTATTTACATTGACCAATTTTTTGATATTTTCAATGTTTTATTGCAACTTCTAGTGCTGTGCCTCATCTTATTTTAAATGAGAGACAGACCTAGTGTTGGTCAGACTGCCAGGCGGGGCCAGGCCACAGTGTACCCTTTGCCCTGTTCTGTGCGCTGACTGCACATGTGTTTTACACTCTCTTTCAGTCTTCACTGTTGAGCGCCGTGCTCGGGGAGCTACCCCCGAGTCAGGGGCTAGTCACTGTGCACGGGAAAATCGCCTATGTTTCCCAGCAGCCCTGGGTGTTTTCTGGAACCGTGAGGAGTAATATTTTATTTGGGAAGAAGTATGAAAAAGAACTGTATGAAAAAGTAATAAAGGCTTGTGCTTTGAAAAAGGTGAGTGATGACGTTTGACTTTCATAGACTCCAATTTCCAGTAGTATTATTGGTAGTTTAAACTACAAGTTTATTTTGAGAGACTTTTGAATGTTATAATACTTGAAACTAGTCCTGTGGGAAAACACACTCGCATATTGCTTTAGCCCTGTTGTGACAAAGACATTCATAGGATGCAGTTTTGGGGGATTTATTTAGGTTTTGTGAAGTTCTGTTCACATTTAACTTGTTTTTAAAATGGGACAGTTACCAAAATTTGCTGAAGTGTGGAGAACAGAATACAGAGCCCTCGTGTACCCATTGCCTGGTTTCAGCCACGGCTACCTGGTGGCCAGGCTGTGTCATTGGCGCCCCACCCAGCCTGCCACACCCCAGATGATTCTCCAGCACTTATGGATTTCATTTATTAGTCTTTAAAAGATAAGAATCTCTTTGAAAAAAATTACACCTAATGAAATGAGAAAAGACCTTGATGCACATCAGCTTTCTTTTTTTTTTTTTTTTTCTGGTACCAGGGATCGAACTTGGGACCTTGTGCTTGCGAGGCAGGCATCGAAACCACTGAGCTAGATTCTGGGCCTGATACATCAGCTTTCTATAGTCAGTGTGTATAGGGTTTTAAGAATCTCAGTAAGAAACTTGGTCATCCACTGGTTTGTGTCCACCTCCTGATAAGATCGGTGTCTCTCACCTAGCTGTTGGGGTTTTTTTTTTTTTTTTTTGGTACCGGGGATCAAACTCAGGTCCTTGCGCTTGCGCAGCAGGCGGCGAAACCACTGAGCTAAATCCCCGGCCCCTGTTGGGATTTTTGATCCTTACACTTCGCTCCCGACATTATTTTCAATTCATACTTTACTTTTTAAAGAAAATGAAAGACTTCAAAATTTCTTCTTTGTACTGCATTATTTCTCCAAGAGAAAAATTGTTTTTAGAAATGACATTTGAGTTTCACAGAAAATGGAAGATGAACTGTTTTACTGAACAATGGGATTTCAGTAAAATAAAATCAGTGGATGATTGAAGAAACCTGAACTTATCTGATAGGAGGATGCAAGTTAGCGAGAGGACAAAAGGCAAATACTGATAAATACTGTTACCTTCTTTGGATTATAAAACTTGGCAAATAATGGCACTAAAGGACTCTCCACGGGGTCTGCTCAGTGTGGCCAGATATCCAGCTGTTCTTTTGTACTTTGGAAAAGGCTGGACAAATTTTCAAAGGTGGGATGTCAAAGGCCCCTAGCCAGCTTTGTGGGGAAAGCATAATTTTCCCTGAACAATGGCTCGCATATCACAGATTGTATTGGTGAGTAGCACTTTATGATGATGTGGACAAAAAAATAATTGCTTGTTTAATGGACTTTGATTGCCCTCTCCTAGGTTGTTGTGAATGAGAGATGATGTGTTTTCATAAATGGTATTAAGTCAGCAATGAAGAGCTAGATTTGTATGAAATGCTGTATCCACTGGGCAAGAGAAGAAGGGGGAGGCCAGTGGAGAACAGTAATAATTAGCTCCTACCCCCCGTCATTGTCTCTTTTTCACACATATATGTGCACACAAAGCATATGAATTTTCAGTCTTCTACCATAATTTCCCAGTCACTCATTTTCAGGTTTTATCTTTATCAGTGCCTGTGTCCATTGCGGAACGATTACGTTTCTCCTGGAGAGCTGGTACATGCACAGCACATCTAGATTTCCTCATTCCTTTTCCCTCCCTCCCTCTCGCCACTCTCCCTCCATCTCTCAATCCCCTGCCCACCTGGAAAATCTGTCTCTCTACTTCCTTATTATCTTTTATTTTTCTCTTTATTTATATTTGGGGTTTCTCGTAGAAGAGAAACCATGTGGCGTTTAAGCTTGTGTGTCTCACTTATTTCATTTAACATCATGATCTCAAGGTACATCTGTTTTCCTACAAATGCCTCAGGTTTAACCTTTATGGCAGAGTAGTACTCCACTGTTTGTAAATACCACATTTTCTTTATCTGTTCATCTGTTGATAGACATATAGGCTGCTTCCAAGATTTTGCTGTAGTGAATTCTGCTGCTATTGATAGGGGTGTGCATGCATCACTGTAATATGATGTCTTTAACTCTTTCCGGAAGATACCTAGAAGGGGAAGAGCTGGGTCAAATGGAATTTCTTTTTAGTGTTTTGAGGAATCTCCATATTGATTTCCATAGTAGTCGCACCAGTTTGCACTCCCACCAACAATGTGAGGACCCCCCTGCCCCGCCAGCCTTGCCAGCATGTATTGTTGGTTGATTTCTTGATGATAGCCATTCTTTCTGGAGTGAGATGGAATCTCAGTGTTTCTAAATTTTCATTTCTCAAATGACCAGTGATGTTGAATATTTTTTCATATATTTATTTGCTATTTGTACTTCATTTGAAAAGTGTCTGTTCGTTTCAGATGCCCATTTTTTAAAAGCTCTTTATATATTCTAGGTGCTCCTCTGTCTGAGAAAAAGCTGGCAAGAAAATTTTCTTCCCATTCTGTAGGTTTTCTCTTCACTCTGTTGGTTGTTTCCTTTGTTGTGAAGAAGCTTTTTAATTTGATATGGTTCCATTCATTTTTTTCTTGGTGCTACCTCTTGTGCTAATAGGATTCTGTTCAGAAAGTCCTTACCTATGCCTATGTCAAGAGCTTTACCTATTTTATCTTTTTGCAGATTAAGTGTTTCTGTTTTAACATTTAGATCTTTTGATCCATTTTGATTTTAGATTAGCACGTAGTGAGACATATGGGTCTAGATTCAATCTTCTGCGTGTAGATAGCCAATTTCCTAGTGCTATTTATTAAAGAGGCTGTTTTTCCTTTAGTGTATGTTTTTGGCCCCTTTGTCAAAGATTAGACACTTGAATGTGTCTGGGGTTGTTTCTGTATCCTCTGTTCTGTTACATTGATTTACATGTGTGTTTTTGTGTCAGTACCGTGCTATTTTATCACTGTAGCTTTGTAGCATAACTTCAAATCTGGGATTGTGATGCCTCCTGCTTTTCTCTTGTTACCTAGGATACTTTAGCTATTCTGTGTCTCTTCTGGTTCCATATAAATTTTAGGATTGTTTTCTCTAGTTCTATGAGGAATGCTTGTAGTATTTTGATTGAGATTGTATTAAATCTGTATATATCAGTTTTGGAAGTATGACCATTTTGAATATATTGGTTTTGCCTATCCGGGACCAGCATATAGCTTTCTGTTTTGTGGTGTCCTCCTTGCTCTCCTTTTTCAGAGTACTGTAGTTCTTGTTGTAGGCCTTTCACTTCCTTGGTTAGGTTAATTCCTAAGTATTTAATTTTTTGTGATGCTATTGTGAATAGCATTGTTTTCCAAATTTCTTTCTCAGTGAGTTCATTATTGGTATACAGGAGTACTATTGATTTTTGTGTGTTGATTTTGTATCTTGCTACATTGCAGAATTAGGTTATTTATTCTAGTAGTCTTTTGATAGAAGTTTTTGGTCTTCTATGCAGAGGATCATGTCATCTGTAAATATAATAATCGGACCTCTTCTTTGCTATACATACCCCTTTTATTTCTTTCTCTTGCGTGATTGCTCTGACTAATGTTTTGAGGACTATGCTGAACAGAAATGGTGCCTGTGGACATCCTTGTCTTATTCCTGATTTTAGAAGGAAAGCTTTCCTTTTTTTGCCTATTTAATATGATGTTGGTAGTAGGTTTGTCATAAATGGCTTTTATCAGATTGAGATAAAGTCTTTCTATACCTATTTTCTTTTTAGGATTTTTTTTTATCATGAATAGATGTTGGATTTTGTCAGAGGCCTTTTCTGTATCTATTGAGGTGATCATGTAATTTTTGTCCTTGGTTCTGTTTTATGTGATGTGTTACATTTATTTATTTATTTATTTATTTTTTGGTACTGGGGATCGAACTCGGATCCTTCCACTTGCAAGACAGGCGGCGGAACCACTGAGCTAAATCCCTGGCCCCTATATTACATTTATTGATTTGTGTATGTTGAACCATCCTTGCATTTCTGGAATAAAGCCTACTTGGTCATGATGTGTGGTCTTTTTTTTGATAATTTAGTTCTGTTTTTGCTTTTTGGCACTGGGGATCGAACTTGGGTCCTTGCACTTGTGAGGCAGGCAGCGGAACCACTGAGCTAAGTCCCTGGCTCCTTTTTTTTTGATAATTTGTTACATTCAGTTTACCAGCAGCTTGTTGAGGAATTTTGCACCTATATTCATGAGAGAGTTTGGCCTGAAGTTTTCTTTTTTGGCTGATCTTTGTCTGGTTTTGGAATTGGTAATGCTAGCTTTCAGAAATGACTTTGGGACTCTTCCTTCCCTTTCAGTTTCATTAAAGAGTTTGAAGAGGATTAGTGTTAGATCTTCCTGAAGTTCTTGTAGAATTCAGCAGTAAATCCATGAGGACCTGGGCTTTTCTTATTTGGTAGATTTTTTTAATACTGTTGCAATTTCATTGCCTGTTACTGGATAATTCAGAGTTTTTAAATCTTCTTGGTTCAGTTTCGGTAGTTTTTTTGTATCTAGGAATCTATCCATTTCTTCTGAAATCTCCAATTTATTGTTGTACAGATTTGAGAAATAACTGATAATAATATTTTTGGCTTTGGCAGTGTCCATGTGATCCAACACAGGACCTTGTGCTTGCGGAGCCAGGCTATGGCACCACTGAGCAAAATCCCCGGTGTGCCTTTTTTCATTTCTAATTGCATTGATTTGAGTTCTTTTCTTTCCTTTTTCTTTTTTTTTTTTTTGGTAAGATTGGCTGATGGTTTATCTATTTTGTTTATTCTTTTTAGATACCTGCTCTCCAACTCATTCTTTTTTTGTTTTTAAATCTCCATTTCACTGCTTTCTGCTCTGATCATTATAATTTCCTTCCTTCTACTGGCATCTCAAGGTCCTAAAACAAAAAACAAAACAAACAAGAGCTACTGTCTTTGTTGTCACTATCCTCATTTGGTCAAGTTGGGGTCTGGAGAGGTGAAGGAACTCA